TTTTTTGCAATTTTAAGTGTTTTGTTTTTTTATGAGAACCCTACATTTACTGTTTTAAAATTTTATGTTGAGAAAATGTTACAAGATTATAATGTTATAACTGATATCTGGGGTGTCTGATTTTTGGAGTTTAAAAACAAAAAGCAGCATGTAATATTTTCTTTTTTTGAAAACAGGTTTTTTTCCTTGATTTATTTTTTTATATAGTATTTTTTTCTCTTCTTCACAGACCATAAATACTGTATCAGAAGTTATTCGAGGCTGCCAAGTAAACCAAGACTACTTTGCTTCTGTAAACGCACCTTCAAACCCACCAAGGTAGAAAATGGGAAATGACTGAGATTCCTTTGAGGAAATAAAAGCTTACTATATCTCATTATACATCTTACTCCGTTGTAAAAAATTGAATTCTATGTTTTAAAACTAGAAATTATCTGACAAGTAAATATACTGGTATTGGGCATAGTGGCACATRCCTATAACAGTTGATCAGGAAGCTGAGGCAGAAGAATCATAATTTTGATTCAGTTTCTGCAACTTAGCAAGACCTGTTCTCAATATAAAAAAAGATTGGGGATATAGCTCAGTAGTAGAACACACCCAGATTCAGTCCCTAATACTGCCAAGAAAAAAGGTAAATATATTGGTATTTTAAGAGTGAGAGGTCTTTTTCTATAGTCCCAGCTACTTGGGAAACTTCCAAGGCAAGAGAATCACAAGTTCAAGACCAGCCTCAGCAACATAGCAGAACCCTGTCTCAAACTAAAAAAATTTAAAAGGGCTGGGCATGAAGCTCAGTGGTAAAGCACCCCTGGGTTTAATCTATAGTACAAAAAAAATGAGTGTGTGGTCTTTGGAACTTAAATATTTAGGCTCATGTATAATCACCCTTGCACTTTACAGGTATATGCCATAAACAAACAAATTATTATTCTCCACTGCAGTTTCCTTTTCTACAAAATGGAGATGGAAATACTTAACTTGCTGGTGTTCTAGTTATAGTTTTTCATTCAAGAAAAATGACTGGTTTTTCATTTGTGTGCTTGGGTCATAATGCTTCATTTTCTTTTTTTCTTTTTAAATGCAACAGACCAGCAATTGTAGTACTTCTCATGTCCATGGTTAATGAAAGGCAGCCATTTGTGTTGCGCTGTGCTGTTCTCTATTGTTTCCAGTGTTTCTTATACAAAAACCAAAAAGGACAAGGAGAAATTGTGTCAACGCTTCTACCTTCCACTATTGATGGTAAATAATTTAATTATAATTTCTATTTTTAAAAGCAAATATAATTGTCTTTCAAGCTTTTATAATTGAATTTTCATTTGTGCTTGAGCTAAAATACTTATTTTTTTATATGCTTAAAAAATAAATTGAATTATTAAGCCTAAATTAGTTAAAAGTAGAGAACAGTGTTTATGAAGTCAGACTAGAGTTTACATTATAGAGTTTCCTCTTCTCTTGCTTTTTTAAGTTATGAGAGGATAATACTATCTTTATGTGAGAATAATACTTACCCATTAGAAATATTGAGAGGCCAGGTACCATGGCATACACTTGTAATCCCAGCTGCTCAAGAGGCTGAGGAGGGAGGATTGGCAAATTCAAGGCCAGCCTTAGCAACTTAGTGAGGCCCTAAGCAACTTGAGTGAGATCATGTCTAAAAAGCATAAAATGGGCTGAGGATATAACTTAGTGGTACAGCACCACTGGGTTCAGTCCTTAGTACAGGAAGGAAGGATGCAAGGTTGGGTGAGAGAATTAATGCAATTATCTATGTAAAGCACATATCCCAATATCTGGCATAATAGATGCTAATAAACAGAAACTATTGTTAGTAGTAAATACCACTCTAAGGATACATCCTACCATGAAATTGTACTTGACATTTTAATCTCTTGTTCTAGTATAGATTAGATCCATTCCCTCTTTATGGGTTCTTTAAATATTTCAATTTATCTGGGGTGAATTCTTTTAATATTTACCTTTGTTAACTTTAAGAGTAATTTGACATAGGCTATTGGAAACATAAGTAAATCTCATTTTAATTACATAAACTGTAGAGTTTTTTTAAATCAAAATTGAGTATTATATTTTACCAAAAGCTTTTATGGTTAAAAAATTTTTATTACCATAAATTATTTTCTATAAATGAAAGTAAGACCCTGTACTTAATAGAATAAAGAATGTGGCATTTCTTTAGAATTTATTTTAGAAATATTGTTTTCAGTTAAAGTAATAATTTTATGAATTATCATTATCAGTTGGTTGCCTAAGGTGTTCTGATATTTGTTATGCTACTTTTCCTCCAAGATACCTTTCTCTCATTTTTCACTTTGTTGGCTTTTTTGTTGTTGTTGTTGTTACTGGGGATTCAACCCAGGGGTACTTTATCCCTGAGCCACATTTCCAGCCCTTTTTATTTTTTCATTTTGACACAGGGTCTTGTTAAGTTGCTTAGGCCCTTGCATRGTTGCTGAGGCTAGTCTTAAATTTGCAGTCCTCCTGCCTCAGCCTCCCGATTCACAGGGATTACAGTGGTGTGTCACCACGCCCAGCTCATTCATTTTATTTTGAAAAGCAGGCTTTTCTTGTTTTGAAAATGTGACTGAATACTTCTGGTAACAATGTAGCATTTAGTAGAGTTTCATACTTGGGTGTGTGTGTGTGTGTGTGTGTGTGTGTGTGTGTGTATAAAATAATTTAAAATTTTTGTTGTAAATTTTGGTTTATTTCCACACATAATAATAATATATTATTATCTCCACAAATAATCTATTATTTTTATCTGCCTGCCATCTTTGTAGCAACAGGGAATTCAGTCTCAGCTGGACAGTTATTATGTGGAGGTTTGTTTTCTACTGATTCACTTTCAAACTGGTGTGCTGCTGTGGCTCTTGCCCATGCTTTACAAGAAAATGCTACTCAGAAAGAACAGTTGCTCAGGGTTCAACTTGCTACGAGTATTGGCAACCCTCCTGTTTCCTTACTGCAACAGTGCACCAACATCCTTTCACAGGTAAAACATTGTAAGTTTGAGCTGTATGTTTTTTGATGCCAGTGATAAAACAATTTAAGGATGTCCTTAGAAGATGCACATGAAAAATACTTTCCTACTTTTTATTTCATTGTAACCAGAAGCAGTTTTGTGGAGAGGAAGCAATAAATATTTTTATATGACTAGTTTTACCAAATAGTTAGATAAGATCTGTTTCATGGTGAAAGCACAGTTTGGGGCAGAAAGGTGTTTTTTTGGCTTTTGTTTTCTTTTTGAAGTATTTACAGTGTTCTTGAATGTCATTTTCTCTTTCTGCTCAGTATCTGAATTCAGATCAGTTTATGAGAGAAGAATAAAGCAGTTCATAGCTATGTTCTGTCCCCTTTCTTTTCCCAAAGCAGTTGATCATACAGAAGTAAAACCCATTGCATTCACAGTTATTCAGTATACCCCTTCTGTGTTTGTGGGTTCTAAAGATCTTCATGTCCCCAACACATAATTATCCTAATAAGATGTAGAAAAACAAACATATTTGCATTCCTTTAGATTCTTAATGAGAATAACAAGCTTTGTTGAAATATGGGTGGTAGGACATTTAAAAATATCATTTACTTAATAATTTGTCCACATATACTAGCCTTGCTTTTCAATAGTTCAAGTTCATGCTTTAGCAGAACTGTAGTCAGAGTCACTCATGGAAAGTTAAAATGTGAATCAGTCTCTGTCCACTTTCTCTAGGAGTAGAATTAACCTCCCCATTCTCCTGTGATAATGCACTGTATTCTTCCTTAGTTTTTCATTTTGCCACACATTGAATTTTTCCTTTTTTTGAGCTTTTTGAATTTTATTTATTTATTTGTGTATTTATTTATTTATTGGTGATAGAGATTGAACCACTCTTGCATACTGAGCCCACACTCTGCCACTGAGCTTGCCACTCTAGACCATAACCCTTGTCTTGACCTTTTAAAGAAACATGAATGTCATCTATTGAAGTTAGAAGTGAAAGCTTAAAAATTAACTTGTAGAAAAAAAGGTGTCAATGTTTACATTGGTTTACTTCAACGGACTACTTATTACTTATCTCTTAGCGATTTAAAAAAAAAAACACCAAAATTTTCATATCTTTACTTAATTAATACTTGACATTTTTATGTTTGTTGAAACAGCTTTCTTAAGCTGAACAGTAATCTGATTGTTACTATCCACAAACATGTTTCCATATTATAATTATAATAAATGTATAATGAGAAATCCTAAAGATTTCTCAAGTGTCTTCCTCACTCTAAGTAATCACAGTGCTATAAAATCAACCTTTATCCTTTAAACATGTATCATCTTTCTACAAGAAAAGATTATAACTGTCCTGTTCCAAATTACTGGCTTGAATTTACAGAGACCAAAAAAGTAGTTGAGGGCTTTTTCTAGATTTATATTTTTTCAAAGTAGTAATATTTATGAGTAATTTTTAATGTATAATTTGCAGGGTGATAAGATCGACAGACGGGTATGTATCATGATTAAGCTTAGGCATTGTCCTCTTACAGCAAGGCTTTTCCTTTGTCTTGGGTTTTGCTGATTGGTTTTTTTAACTGCTTGTTTGAAGTTATATTCTACTCACACTTTTATGTGTCAACAAGTTTATCTCTGTCACAAGTGGCTTTCCAATTTTCTCCATGGGATATTGTAGTGGTGTTACTAAGAACTATGGGAATGAGAATCTAATGCTGTGTCCTGGTGCTTTCTCTGGTGATGCTTGCACTTTCTGGAATTCTCTTGGTTTTGGTTTTTTTGTGTTTTCCCCACAAGCTTGCTTCTTTATTTCCCCTGAAACTGTTTCAAAGGAAGCAAAATTTATGGTTAAGCATTTTGTCTTAATCAGTGTATGTTTGACTTTTCTGTTACTTATATTATTTAAAATATGCAGTAGTAAAATTTTTATAAATTGAATGACTTTAAATTAAATACTATGGATTGTTCTGGACATAATCCATATGCTACAACTACCATTGGGCGTTAGTTTTTGTTGTGWTGAGGGAGAGTGTTATTTGTGTTTGGTTTGATTTTCTTTTGAGTGGCAAAAAATAAATGTACCTTACTTAATATCCATGTTTAGACATATTTCAGTTATACAATGTGGATAGTAATGATGAATGTTAAGAAGTGTATCTTTCTGCATAAGCATGATTTAACATG